CATATGGCATGATTTTCCATGCTTTTTGTCTTCGCGTGGTTATAGTTTTAATTTCTGGGGCTACAAAACTACCCAGTGGGTTTGGAGATTTGCTAATGATGACTGTATGATATAATTCGGAAATATTTAAAATATCTTTGTTCCCATGAACGCTTTTAGGGGGAGACGGCTACCGATAACAAGATCAAAAAATAAAGGTGCTGTCGCGGTTTTCCTGGTACCTGTGCCACTACTCATTTATGGTCTTTTGAGATTCTTGTTACCTGTCCTAAATGTAAATTCAAGGGTTCCCAGAAGTGGTTTGGGTACAATGGGAGTAGATTGGGGTGTACCCATGTTGCAGAATGAAGTGATGAAAGTGGTATGGGGGAACCTCGATGAGGAAGGGATTCGTTGTACTGAACTAACAGAGGTATGAGGAATGCAGGATACGAGAAGATACAGTGCTCTGGGCAGCACGCCTCCTGAACCGATAAATTATTTCAAGAATTTTTTCGCGCGTGCGATTGAAGCCTTGTGATTGCTCTTTTTGTATTCGATTAAGGAGAATGAAAAGATCAGAGTGAGACGAAGAAGAGTAGCCTTCCTGGGGTTTCTTCATTGATCTGTGCTTTGAATGAGAAAGCACATAACAATTAGCGAAGTGAATGGACAGTCTTCTGACTTTCTCTGTGATGCCTCGGTTTTGAGATTCTGATGTGTTTTCTACTAGAAGCGCAGGGCAACGTGGATACATGAATAGTATGTGTGACGAAGGTTGGAGCGTCGTTCAATGCTAGCGTTTTGCAGCATTGAGCATTCAAGTGCTTGTGGACCCAGGAAAAAGTTTGTCCGTTCACAGACCACAAGCAAACTCGTTTGTTCAAGTGGTCGTTGTTCTCTTTTTTACGAACGGAGGCTCTTGTATGCGATGTCCATCGAGGAGAGCTCCAATCTGTTTCAACCGTTTCACTCTTACGTTATCTCATTTATGTGGCTGTTGAATCAGAGTTTCAGAATTGCACTTATGCCCTACTTTCCCATATGGTAATAGCTTCGACAGAAAGTAGCTCACCCTTGGAAACAGGTTTTGTTTGCCAACAGCGATGGTTGAATTATTTTCATGAATTTGCTAATATTTCAAATTTCTCCATTATCCTCTTCCTGTGACTTCTCCTATGATTTCAGCGGATAAGTTTTTTTTTGAATAGTTTTCAGTTTTTTTTCGATGTTCTCTTATTTTAAATCAAGCCCGACTGATTTACCATGCATTCATACTGTTACAGAAAGCATTTAGCCTTGGAAAATAGTTCATTAAGCTAGCGCATCGTATGAGCTCTTAAAATCCAAGTTTAACAGCAGTCTTATACTTCAGCGAAAATCTTATACTGACTGACTTGGTTTCGCACCCATTTTAGCACGTTGGCCATAGCGCGCGTTTCGGATTTTTCGGATCTGGTGGGATCGGCAAGATTTTGCGAGCGCGGCAGCCTCACCTCAAATCCATAAATTCTGAGCAATAACCACGCAAAACATGAGTGACACAACCATTTCAGCAATATTCAATGCGCAAAAGTTGGATTAGGGTGGAATGGTGAACCTCGTAATATCAAAAGAACGTAGTACTAGTCGATGCAAGGTAAAATTCATCTCGCTTTTCTTTAAAATGAAGACCCCCAAAGTCTTTCGTGCGGCCATTTGGCAAATTATATTTTTGTTAGTCCGAGTAGCTTCCCTACTCACTCCTACTATTTCCTTTTCTGGTTGCATATCATATATAAATAGTATAGGATGCAATACCTGCGAGAATAACCGATCCGCGCATTCGCTAAGGAGCTAATGCCACAGGGGTGGCCGATCCATTGTGGCAGTTTGCTAGTGTCCCGACCCGCGGCCACCGGCCGCTCGCAGCCCGCGAGTGCACGTTCGACGCGTAGCTAGCATCGAGGGCTTTCAGCCACTAGGGAAATGAACGCTTAAGATGTTTACAGACTGTGAACCAGAATCCCCTATGTTGCTAGCCCCCCCGCGCTGGCGTTCGCCACTTGAACTAATATTTCCAAGACCCCCCTCTACGCCAAATCCCATTACAAAATGCGCCGCACCCAGCGCGCCGGCCGCGCGACGCTGCCCGCCGCATAGCCGACTCGTGACCCATTAGCCGACGATTGACAATTGACCGTCTCCCCTCCCAGACTTGGACATTTCTTGACCCCCTGTGAATCCACGCGTCTTTACAGTTACGCTTGTGCGGTGTTTCATGGAAAAATTAGCGCTATTGCGAGGGAAGGGATAGCATGGGTGGACGCGCAGCATCGCGATGTCCTGCACGTTCTGCAAAGAGGGACGCGCAAACGCGTCACGCTGTCGTCAGTGTTTCAATGCTCGACCTTTTTTTATTCCCTTCTATTTCACTGATGCCTACTCGGTGATCTCATAGGTATTCGTATAATTTTCCTCTGAAGATAATATTGCTCACTTTCGGACAGCTTCTGTCATCGAGAGGTTTGCACCTTTTTCTCGGGAAATCTAGCTAATTTTTCTCCTGAATTTCAGAAAACTGGTATTCGTGAAGTACTCGTTAAGGTAGTCTTCGCGATTGAGAGAAGTTTTTCTAAGGCACATAAGCACAAGTTATCGTTTAGAGCAAAAATCAGTGCACTGGTGAACGTGGCGTGAGTTTTACGAAATATTAAGAAGATGATGAGTTGCCCGTGGTGCTCTAATATCCGGTTCCATAATCTAGTTTTCGCGCACCTTGGTGAAATCAAGCCCTTCCTGCTCGACTGCGACACTTTGCGAAAAGTGCCACGCTGCGCAGCTTGCGCTAATGCAGCGATGCCCCCCACGTGTTCTCCATTTTAAACTTTCCACTCTCTGCTCCGGCCATTATGATGTGTACAGTTGACTTTCCTGATTCGATTAGCCCGCAGGTGGGTCGAGGAACGTGAAAAGTACTCGTTATCGAGAAGATTGCTATACGATGTAAGTCTAATGGAGCAGGTTTAGTCTGTAAGTCGCTACCAGCTAAGCTTCTGCTTCTCCCACTCAAGTATGTAAGTCTCTTCAGACTAATCAAGCGCGCCGAGCTTACTTGATTTCTTCACTAGTAGTCAGTAGAAAGTCTTTCTCAATATTATGTTACTGTATCATAGTCTGAATTTCTCTGAAAGAGAAATTTCAGTTGAAAACGTTTGGCCGGCTTACGGCTGAGGTCCCTTCTTTCAGAATTCCGTTTGACTTCTGCTTTCCTACTTTGTTCTCTATTTCCTGTTTTTCATTCTCTTTCTCGCATTTATAATTTTATCTTCCGAAGGTATGTATCATTTGATCTACACAGCAAT